CTCGTCCGTCGTTGGTTGGGTACGAACTAGGCGTCGGGTACGGACGTTTAGTTTTCGTTTCCCTACCCAACCAACACTCCTACACTCTCCTTCCTACTACCTAACCTAACGAACGTACTCTCTCTCTCTCTCTCTCTCTCTCTCTCTCTCTACCCAAAGTATGAATTTCTAGACCCTCTCTACTCAACCGGATAATGTTTAGTTGTCTTTCTAACCTAACCTAAGAACTTAAGATTACATCTCTTTTGAGCAATTTCAATCCTAGTTTCTCTCAGCAATCCCTTGTAGAAGTGAATGCCCAAAGTTATGCTGAGAAGGAAACAGAGATGAAGGCAGTGAGAGGTGGCAATGCAGAACAAGTACAATATATGAAATCAACTTTTTTTCATTTTATTTGTTTTATTTTACTGGCTTGTCTCCTTAAAAGGGCCACTTACAACACTATAATAAAAAATAAACTCTACTACAGTCTAAGGATCACACAATTACCGCCTCTAAACATGAATTTTATTCGTAAAGAAAGAATTAAATAATTATGAAATATAAATCAAGAACTAGGAAGCCACTTGATTGAATGAAGATTTGCCTAGGATCGCCTCCGTAGGATTTAGTACAACCCACTCCACACCAATGGTGCAGTGATCTTATGGTCCCTGCTTTCAAGGTGGGAAGCTACTATGGCAAACCCTAATTCAACCTGGGGCTGAGAGCATAACGAATAGAGAGAATACTGAGAACACAATTAGGATTTAAGACCCTTTTTTCTGAGGCATGATGTCCTAGGCCTGACCTGGGCCTGGAGTGGCACCTCCCCTGACTTAGATGGTCTGGCATGCCTCCTACTGGAGTACCTACGGGTGTGTGCCACCCTAGGACTCTTTCTAGGTGGTGTGTGCACCTAGAGAGAGAGAGAGAGGCTCTGATTTGAGGCGCTGAGAATGAGGGGGTGACCCCTTATTTAAAGTGCCACATGAGGTCTAGGATAAGCCATTTCAAATTGGGATTCGATTTGGATCATTAGATCTATGGTGATCTGTGGGGTAAAAAGAGATTTAACCTGAGCCCTCCATTCCCTAAATCAGCTATAATGATGATGCGAGGGGTGCTAATGTGGGGCGTGGAACCCTACTGGGCCCCCTATCCACCCAAGATGGGTAGCCCCCATGTGGGGTCGATGGCACCATTGGGCCCCACATTGGCCCCTATAATTTTTCTTTGCTCCAAAGAATTCTAAAATGGCACAAAATATTTTATAAAATAAATTGAATTTTTAATTCCAAAAAAAAAAATTGAATTGAAAATTCCTACAGAGAAAAAATAAAATATGCAATGATTATCTTAGTGTCCCACTATTTTTATAAGCCATAAACTAACACTTTTAGAAGAGGATTGGATCCAGCAGGTCAGGAACATGCGAATTGCTGAGGCACTCCACCTATGCTAAAAATCCATGACCCTCAAAACTATCTTCTCAAAGTAGAGCAGCCCATGACCTACAATTAATCGCAAGGGTCCATGATTGGCCCATCAAAATTGACCTATAAATTGTGAAGATACAAATCTAGTATGTGGATTACGGATTCCCCTCTAAGGACAATTCATATCCATAAGGATGAACATACAGTCATATCCATAAGAATGAACATACAGGATTGCAATAGCACAAGGGTTACTCTCTTCAGCGCATTCACATGTACCCTATGGAGTACACATCCACTATGATTATGAGTTTTTACATGCTCTCAAGGCGTTTAAAGGCCACAAACCCCAAAAGGCAGAGGTCATCTGAATATATGATTCTAAAATTCTTATAA